ATCGATTTAGCGTTTTCAGGTATATATGTATGTGTATGTTATATGTAATATATAAGGTTTGGGTTTACATAGGGTTTGGGTTTTCTCTAAAGGGTTTGGCGATCTAGGCTCAGCCCCCTTGACCACGCCCACTTGCTTTTTGCGGAATTTTGATATTTTTCAAAATTTTTGCATTTTTGGTCTGCTACGTGAAGCCCCGCCCACTGTGAGAGGCTCCGCCCACTTTTCAAAAATGGTGCAATCGGCAGTATAGTCTTGGCTTGCATGCTAGGGTCTCGTCCTGTCACTCGGAACAAATGAATCAGGCAAAGTTTGTTCCGAGTGATGTTCCGAGTGTACTCACGACTGATGGAAAACGGGCTAAGCGGGGTCAAAAATCACGCGCTGCTGACACACCCCAATTTAATTCATTGATTGATTAGACATGCGGCAGCACTTCCATCTTTTACCAGTAAGGTCTTGATGTGAGATCCTCCAAAACACTCGCGAGCCTTTTTTACCTCGTCGCCAAGACATGCTTCCTGCACCCTGGACCACTTTCACTGAGTACCATCAAAAAATGAGCCTCACACACAAGAAACAGCCCTTGGGCAGCGTTCATACGTCGCGATGAGGCGCGTCGACGCGCTTTCAAGCGCTTCATTGCAACAGCACTCCAATCCTATACACTCCAACGGGACTCGATTGGCAACTCCTGTATATTGAGAGAGTATATGGTGCTGGAGAGTACGTGTTGCCCGACCACGCAGTCTGATATCGATCGACACTGGTCGCTAGGCCGATCGATACTCGTCTCCGGCTGCGTTCGCGTCTACAGGATTGGAGCGCGTTGATCGTAGTGCGTTACAGCGCGTCGACGCGCGTCATCGCGAAATCTGAACGTGCCATAAGAAGGCCTAAAACTATGGGAATGTTAATGCTTCTAACCAGAAGAATCACAGCAATTAAATTCACTCCCAATACGTCTCTAAAAAACACATGGAAACCAGGAAACCTCATAAACCTTTTTATGGTGATACTTCATTCCAACAATCAAACAACTGACACCAACAGGGCAACTTTGCCGAAAAAATCCACGCAATTTCCTGAAAGACCTCCAAACCAAGATCTTTTCCTGGGTTGAATTACATACAAATAGAAATCTAACAACGGAACTGCCGAACCATTTCAAGTGAAAGATGTTTATTCCACACGTTTCGATGCTATAAGATTGCGCATCTGACTCAACATCGCCATTTCCTTCTTTTTTCGTTCCTCTTGAGAAAAACCCGATAGTAAACGTTTCTCTTCGGCAGTTAAGACCTGGAAAGCAAGGAATGGTAAGCAGTCGTTTATAACATTAAAAAGAAAAGGACGGGAATTCCGGCTTACCTGGTTTTCTTTTCGTAATCGAGTCGCTTCCATTGCTTTGTGCCGTGTACCACTCATCACGTATCCGACTTTTTCGAATTCACTAATCTCCGCCGACGAAAGTCCAATTTCACCTAAAAATTGGGAAGCACTCAGAAAGCTCTTAAGAGAGCGATTGCATCGAATGCAATTCTGAACTCGAATAAGGTCATTATCGAAAGCGTTCCTTCTTGGAAACCAATTGCGTTTTGCAGTCGCCAAGAAACAAGAAAGTGCAGCGCTGTGCCTCGCTAATAAATATGTCATCACAGAAAGAAGACTATCCACGATAACTATCATAGAAGGGAGGCAAAATCCAAAAAAAGCACCAAACGGTTATAAAGGAATCTTGGACATTCTCAATTCTTAGGCTAAACAAGTGGGAAAAAGTGGTAGAAATACAAAACGACACAAAATTTCGGTCAATAAGAAAAATAAGGCAGCGTTCAGACTTTGCGATGACGCGCATCGAGCGTTTTACGACTGCAGCAGCGCTCTAATCCAACAGCTGTGAAAGCAGCCACAGACAATAATCGATCACTGCCGTCCACTCATGTTGTAACAGCAGAGCAGGTGCTGCCTTCCCAAATACGGTACTCTCCCATTGTATACTCTCCCAATCTCCCAAAGCCCTAGCGGGCCGTGCCGCCTATCGATACCAGAGTGGGTGATTAGGCGGCGCGTACGGTCCTGTTTCGCCATATCCCTCAGTACCCAAACATTCGGCGCCGATAGATTTCCGGCTGAGCCCGCATTCACGTCTATAGCACTGAAGCGCTGTTGCAATTGTAGCGCGTGGACGCGCGTCATCGCGAACTCTGAACGCTGCCTAAGCAATTAAAATTACACCTAAAGCATACATACCTCTTCTTGGGATACGCTCTCCTCTGGCTGCGTATGCTGCCATCGCTGCTGCTTCTCCCTTCAGCATATCTTTACCGTAACTGTAATAAAACTTATTTCGAAATCGTAGAGCCAGAAATTATACTCAAAAAGAGTAACTTCGAAATCTCGTTACTCCAGGAGTATAGAAGTATGTTCCATTTCAGCTGAAGAGAAAACTAACTTGGCCTTAATATTAGATCCTATCTGACTCCGCGCCTGTAGATGTTCGGGCAGTGCAGGCCCTGGCATTTCTTGCTCTTCTCTGGCCTCCCTTTCTGCCTGTTCCATCCTCATATCATGCGTTACTTCAACCCATTCATCACTATCGTCATCATCATCACTGTTCTTAGCCTTCTACAAGTATAGCAGAGTAATATTTATAAGTGATAAAAATAAACTAACCAGACAACCTCACCTTCTTCTTCGCCTTCTTTTCCTTTTTCTTAGCCTTTTTGGCTTTCTTATCCTTCTTTTCCTTCTTCTCTTTCTTTTTCTTCTTCTTACCCTTTAAGGGTGACTCGTCATCAGAAATGACCACGTTGGAAGAGTCTTAGAAGGGAAAAAGTAAGCAGAATACCGTGCAAATAGAAAAAATAATGCATTGTTGGAACACTACCTTTCATAACATCTGCCCGCCTCTTCTTTTCCTCCAGCATTTTTTCTTGATTACGGGATTCTTTCAATTTCTCCAATGACTCCTGCTCATTCCGTTTTGTTACTTCACTTTCCATGTAACTGAAATTGAACTTTCAGTAATAAGACGAGATTGACTTACACATTACTTGGTGTTGCTCTAGTTGGTGGGGACCATAAAGCGGAGCGACGAAAGCTAAGCCACAACGCTCCTTGAGTAAAAATCGCTCGACGGCTCCGACCTCTTCCAAGCCAAGGACGTACGGACCGCGTGAAATCATTCCCTATGATCGCACCCCAATTTTCTGCTCTTGTCTGCGCTTTCTCGTCTACACGAAATTATGTAACTACTGCCGCCTCCACATTTTCACACATGGTAACTGGCTCACCCACCTCAGGTCCACCCGAAGAAAAAGGCCGTCCTCTGGCTTGGAACATGTACTTTACTGTACCAAAGATGCCTCGACAGCCGTTGCCCGTTATCGTCCTGCGCAGGGTCTCCCAGACGAACCTGGCAGAAGAGGTCAGGTAGTCAGTAATAAATTCCAAACGGGAGAGCAACGACTGACATCGTCGCGTCACTGCGTGGCCCCAATTAAATGCAGTAATGCTTAACATATTCGAATAAATCTTAGCTAGTGTTAGGGTGGGGGGAGGGGAAGCAGACGCGGTGTGCTTTTTTTTGCTCACCATCCCCACAAGATATTGAGATTGCGATTCCCTTCCCCACCACAGCTACCTTTTAGTAGTTCGCGACGGCCAGGTTGGGCGCATCATTGTTCCCCTGCACGCCCCCTCCACCCATCCCCCTCCCCTCCGCTGCCTCTGACGATCTTAGCACTCTCGTTCGGATCATGTTCACGATCTCAACTGGTTGAGAAAAATTAATAAAGAAAATAAGGAACAATGAAAGAAAAACGACAAAATATAAAACAAATGCTTAATGTTCCTACGCTAGATAAGCCTCTTCAATTTCACGTTGATCAGGTGACAGCCCCCATACTTCTGGGGCACCTCGTTCCAGCAGATCTAATCGACGTTCACGGCGCCTTGAAAGAAGTCAATCACATTCAAAACAATGCTCGAGAACCTACTATCGACCTGATCCATTCATAAATGAAACACAAACGAACCTTTTAAAGAATGCAACTCTAGGGTCAACACGAGGGCTTCGCGATCTCGAGCGCGATTTCGAGACCGACCTCTGCCTCGTGTTACGCCTCTTCGGAGATTTCGAGCGAGATCGATCTCTAGAAAGCAACTATTATGAGCAGATGTTAAAGGTTAATAGTTGACATATCGGATACTTGCCTTTCTCTAGGGTCTCTAGAATCTCGACGTGGACTTCGTTCCCACCTTTCCCGCTGGCGCTCGCGAGAGGGAGAACGAGCGTCTCTTCCGTTTCTGAAATTTCAGATAACTTTCAGAGGAAATTCAGACAACACGACTAGATATAGAGATGCGGCAAATTTTTCACGAATCAGTAGGACTCTAGCTACTAATATGATAAAATTAGTAGCTAGAGTCCTACTAGGTGACTCTGGA